CTTTCTTTCTTTCTTTCTTTTTTTTTTTTCCTTCAAGGCCAAAGCAATTCTCCCGGAGAACTACATGCGTGACTCGGCCTTTTGCCTTCTGATGGCAGTGCTGCTAATCTTGGTTGCAAAATCACTCTTCTGCGCTGTCTCGTCGGTGATATCCTCGGTATTGAGGACATCTACCTCGAAAACCTCCATGGCATGCCAGCCAAGGGACCTCCTCTTGTCGTTGACGGCAGCGCCGCCTGAACGGGTTTCTCCAGAAACAACCAGAGCATCCATGGCCTCGACGGTGACAGTAGGACCATAGGCATCTTGTATAACAACGCAGTCGATGGAAATGGTGTCGTCTCGGAACAGTGCCGAGATGCCGCCATCTTTCCGCTCCAGCTTCAAAGTCTGCCCGTGCTTCCAGCCTTGCAACCGAAGTGCGAGAATGGATGACAGGAACTCAATGACATAATTGGCCCGGTCATCCCAAGACTGCACAAATTCGGCATATTTTTTGTTCTTGAGCAATTCGTCGCCCGTGATACCAATGACAAAGCGGCAGGGCTTGCTGGGTGCATCTGGGGGCACGTTTAAGAGTAAGGCAGCAGCAGTTAGGAGTAATTTGTGGCCTGGGTGCAGATGATCAAATGTGCCACCGAGACATACAACATCGTACAATGGCGTTGTTGGGCCAGATGCAGCAGAAGAGGCAATGTTCAAGGTTAGTCCACCTTGGACAGTGATGATCTGGTCTTGCTTCAGAACCTGAATCTTCTCTAGCAAAACTAGGAATTTGGTCAACAACTGGTGTCCTGCCTCGGTGTCCACGCTGAAGATGTGACTCCAAGGGTGATAGGCCGAGGCAAAAGTGGCGAGATCTACGACGACAGTGTTGTTCGTCTCTATCGCGGGCCTGAAGTCATCCAGGCCTGAGCTCTGAGTAGGGCGATGGTCCACGAGCACGACACGGGCATCGACGGAGCCCCGCCCGGCGTTGACAACAGCATTGACCTGCAGCTCGGCGCAAACAATGGACAGGATGCTATATATGCCAGCCAGTAGCGACTGTGCATCCGACCAATGAAGCGACTTGCTCCGGCGGAAAGGACCTTCGAGCACGGGAGCGGCAACAGCGACAATGAGTACGGCACCATGTGAATGATCCAGCTGCTTGAGCCGTGCGATGACTGAAGTGAGCGAAGGGCGATAGGCAGCACTCAAGGCGGCACGATTCGCCGGGTGCGGCGGCGGAGGGAGCAGCAGCAGGGAAGGCGATACACTGTCCGTCATGGTAGCAAACATGTAAGCGAGCACCAGGCAAGACGGACAGGACCGGTACGAATTTGACGGTTCGGAAAGGCGCGAGGTGAGAGAAAACCAGAAGAAGAAAAACCACCAAGTATAGCAAATGTATGCGCATGCAATTTTGGTGGTGAGAGAGGTTTTGATGTGCCCGGAGATGCGTGATTCTAGCAGTGTCGAGGTAGGTAAGTAGGTACTGAAGTAAGACTGGAATTATCAAGTCGGCTGTAGGAGCGCAACCCTTGGGTCGGACTGAGTTGGGACCTTGATCATCAACACTGCTTGCTTTAGGTAATTTGAATGTACTATGTCATCCTGCTCTGTGACTACCAGACCCTGCTCCAGTGTGAGTACAGTTCCATCCAGGTACCTGTAATGTAGGATAGAGGCGTTCAATGTTGCTATTGCTGGCGTTGAACCACCTACGACATGGGGTCCTGTCGGCCTCGGGAAGCCCTCGATCGAGCACTTTCGAGAGTCTTGGAGGGGCACCGTTGACTTGAAAGATCCAAAGTCCCGTCCCGCCTCGGCTAAAGTGGGGTTGGTTGGTTCACATGTACCACCACTACGACGCGTTATAACTAAAGGCACGTCAGAGATGGTCAATCCAGGTATGATGACAACTATACAGAAAGTAAATCTCGTCCAAGCATCTCTTACCTAGGTAGGTTTTCAGCAGCCCGCGAAAAACCAGTATACCAAATTGGCTGCTCAAACTTCAGCATGATTTCTTGAATCATCATATCTAATTTGGTCTAGTAAACCTGCTTGAACTCCGGTCAGAGCTGGTTTATGTTAATATACAACCTTGCCCGTTTCAAGGTGTTTCTTGGCTTTTAATTTTATTTTCTGTTTTGTTTATTTTTCTCTAAATATTTCAGAAATACTCTGTAGCCAAGATTTGTATTTCTCTTCTTTTAAGAAAAGGAAAATCGGATCACTACTAGCCAATAACGAGAAAGATCCAAGACAGCTCAAAAATCAACCATTCCGAGAGCCACTTGAAAGGTTATTTATTACTCGTATAATTGTGATCCATCAAGTATACTAGAATGGTAAACGATAGTTTGAGAGATTTGGGGTGCTGCACAATATTTGATAAATTTGCTTTCAAGGTAGACAAGATCAAGACGTGCCGCCCATGTATGTCGAGGTATTTCCTGAATTTGATGACAATAAAGGGACCTTATCTAAGTGCGTGCGTGCGTGTACCTCTGCCGCACTCCCGTCATGTGAGGGACCCTTCAATATGGAAAGAGCACTAAGTTTGACCACCTATGAGTACCTATCTTATGTAAGTACCTACCACAGGTGACCACTATACCAACCAAGCGCATCAGGTACATACCTATCAGTGTTTCCCCAAGACGTCGCTGAACATTGAACTGAATGCTGCCTATGTATTCCGTCCATACTTGGATACACACCTTACCAACCACCTTACCTGCATACATCCATGATTTACCTATTTACTCAATCCGACACACACATACTTCGTACTTGGGCCAGGCACATAATTTGGCTGTGCCTGAGGCGACTGTCTCACGCTGCACGAGTAGCGTCTGTAAATATTTGCCGGGCTGTGGAAGAAACCTCCATACAATAACCTGTCGCGTGGCGCTGCCGGCTGGAATTAGGCGACAGACCACACAATTGCTCTACCGAAGGTAGGTAGGTGATCCATCTACTACTACCTACCTAGGTACAGTTAACTCACAGACAACCAGCCCTGCGGCACATTGGGCACGCATCGCAATCTAATAATACCCATCCACATCTGCGCCCGATACCCAGACGTTCAAGCCAGACAACATTGAACTCCTACACGCAAGTCTGTACCAACCGATTCGGCACAGTCCCATACGAACAGCGGCAACTGCGTACAGTTCTCCCTCCTCGTGCATCTCTCCCTCCATCCCACCTCGTCCGCAACGCGCGGCCGCGACCGCGAACGGCGAAGGGCTTTTTGCGATGAACCAGCCACCACAGTACGGCGGCCCTAGGCGCCCTAGCACCTACGGTTCTTCCCATGACGAGCTTCACATGTCCCCCACCAGCAGTAGCCAACAGCAGCAGGCGCATATGTCGCCCCGCGACTACACCATCCCCGCGCCTCAGATCAAGCTCGACCAGAGCGCATCGCAACCCGTCACCCCCGGATCACAATATCCCTCGGCCGGAAGCAGCAGCTCCGCAGTCCCCAACGTTCTACAACCCGCCGGCGGCTTGGGTGCTCCCAGGCCACACGTCATGAGCGCCAATACCGCGCCTGCCCTGCCAACTGTGGCCGGCGGCGGGCAACAACAACACCACCACTCCCAACCACAACAACAACCGTCTCCCGGCGACTACTCCTCTCCCTCGAAACCGCCTACGCTGAGCATCTCGTCCTCCTCTCATGGGTACTCGAGGGCGAGCCCTTCGGCTCCCTTTGAATCCTCGTCTGGCTATACTCCCTACACGCCCACCACGCCCGGAGGTTCCATAGCTGCATCCTCCCAGCTCATGTCTAGTCCCAACCCCAAACTTGGGCCCCCAGGGTCTCAGCGCAATGTCTCCAACACGCCTCTTGGCCTGGCAGATATTCGACCAAGAGCAGACTCGAGCCTGTCCGATGGCGCGCCAGGCACACTCGGATACGAGTTTGCCAACGCCCAACCTTCTCCCAGCAATTATCTAGCGCCCTGGGCTCTCTACGCTTTTGACTGGTGTAAATGGGCACCCTCGGGCAATGGAGCAGGCAAGGTAGCCATTGGTAGCTATCTGGAGGACGGCCACAACTATGTGAGTTGTTCTGGCGCATAACCGTTGCTGCTCGCAAAATTCTTCAGTTGGCTGACAAGGTTCTGGTACAGATTCAAATCCTGGATACCCAGGTGGTCAATGGTCCCCCTGATGACTATGGACTGGGCGCATCCAAGAAGTGCCTCGAGTTCACAAAGGTTGCCGAAGCTACACATTCGTATCCTGTCACGCGACTATTGTGGGAGCCTCCCTCCTCAAACAAGCAAACTACTGATCTGCTGGCAACATCTGGGGACCATCTCAGATTATGGTCCCTTCCCTCGGAACCCCAGAACTCGTATGAGAACAACATGATTGGCCGCCAACAACGCCCTGCCACAAAGCTCACTCCGTTGGCCTTGCTTTCTAATTCCAAAACACCCGATCACACTGCGCCTCTGACGTCTCTAGACTGGAACACAGTGTCTCCGAGCCTCATCATCACCTCCAGCATAGATACGACATGTACGATTTGGGACATCCCCTCCCTTACCGCCAAGACTCAACTCATTGCCCACGACAAGGAAGTGTACGACGTACGGTTCTGCGCCAATAGCGTAGATGTGTTTGTGAGTTGTGGACAAGACGGGAGTGTTCGCATGTTCGATCTGCGAAGTCTAGAACACAGCACCATCATCTATGAGCCCACTGCTAAGGATGACCGAGGTAAGGCATTGACTTTATATCTTAAACCCCCCCCCCCCCCCCCCCCCTTTCCCTGCAAGCCCAGTCGACTAAATCTTTTGCATGGCAGATGCCAATGGTGGGCGGATTAGCCCGACTCTGGCTCAGCAGACAATGTCTAATGCACCACCTCTGATGAGAATTGCAACTTCCCCGCATGACACGCATCTTCTGGCTACGTTTGCGCTGGACTCAAATGTGATTCGCATTCTTGACGTGAGGCAGCCAGGCCAAGCTCTGCTGGAGCTGCGGGGCCACGGTGGCTCAGTCAACTGTATGGAATGGTCACCTCTGCGAAGGGGCGTGCTTGCGTCTGGGGGTGACGACTGCCAGGTTCTCTTGTGGGACCTGATGAACACTGCGCCGAGCAACACGGGTACCGCTGACAAGCACTTGACACCGACCTCTGCATGGCAATGCGACTATGAAGTTGGTAATCTTGGGTGGACGCCGCAAAACAGCGAGGGCGAATGGCTAGGCGTGTCTGGCGGAAGAGGTGTTTGGGGCCTCAAGCTAAATCTATAGAACAAGTCCTCCGGGTGATGAATTTGACGACTGCAACGACCGATATCTCTAACGGTAACCCTTCCGGAGCAGCACATTATCGAGGCGTCTACAGTAGAGGCCTACAAAAGAAATTTGCATCACAGCTGTGCTCTTTCGCTCTGATCATCTGCCGTGCTAATCTGTATGACCGCCTTCCCCCACACTCTACGAGCAGCTATATCTTCAAGAGCCGTCGGCACGCTTTCCAAGCCCTGGTACTTACCGGCGTAGACGGCCGGCTTGATCTGACCAGCCTCGATCAATGGCAATAATTCCGTCCATATCTGCACAGACTCTGCCGGGTCGCGTCGCTCTGATTCTCCAAAACGCTGCAGAAACTAGTGTGAGCCTTGGCTATGTCTCATGGGCCATTTTATACGAGATTACCAGCTTTTGTGGGGAGAGGAGTGGGAGTTGAATACTGACATAACCAATAATGATGGCTTGAGAGAGCAAGACTCGATTCATCTTGACGGCTTCCAGATTACCTTCTCGTCCAGCAAACCCCATGACAAGCAACCGACCTCGGTGTACTAGACAGCGTAGACTATCGCTTACCAAGCCCACAGAGTCGAAGACAATGTCCACGCCTTTCTGGCCTGTCAGGCGATTTACCTCTTCCCACCATTTTGTATTGGCAGTATAGTTGATACATTTTTCAGCGCCGAACCTCTCTGCAATCGCGCACTTGAGCGTTGACCCAGCTGTTCCGATTACCCGGCAGCCAAGGGCCCTGGCCAATTGCACAGCGGCCAGACCCAGCCCGCCTGCTGCGGAATGGACGAGGACAGTTTCTCCAGATTTCAGAGCGCCGCGAAGCTTGAGAGCACCGTACGAGACGGGCAGAGTCGCGCCCAATGAGGCAGCTTGTCGGTAAGACCAAGCAGGCGGCATGTGATGCAAGGCCGTGGCATTCGAAGCAGGCAATGCCAAGTATTCGGCATAGGCGCCCAAGCAGGCACCAAAGACTCGGCAACCCGGAGGAAAAGAACACGATGCCGGTGCAGAGATGACCTCACCGGCGAACTCGAGGCCCAAAGTGAACGGAGGAGTGACATGCCTGCGGTTATTCTGATGGAGACCTCGAGACTGGTTTTTTTCCCCTCCTCTTAGCGATGCACTTTGGCAAATGGGGGCAGGAAACCCCCCATATGGTAAGGTGAATCATGCTGGCTCACTCACATAGAGGGTGTCGACAAAGTTTACTCCCGCGGCTTTCACATGGATGAGAATCTCGTCATTATTGGGACTGGGAACGGGGATTTCGGAGACATGAACTTCAGCATAATTCTAAAAAAAAAAAAAAGACACGCTTTAGTCGACACGGTTCCGGAGCGGCAACAATACCATGATATAACTTGGGTCATGGCTGCAACTGACCTGCACAAACTTGTTAATCACAACAGCCTTCATTTTTTATTTCCACCGACGAATTCTTCTTCAATTGCTCTTTTGTAAGTGAGAAAGAAAGGACAAGATCAGCATGTAAGCAGTTGTGGAGTATCCAATGTTACCACCTCTGTATGGTTGAAATGGCATCTTTGGTGAAAACAAGTTGAGTGCTGAGTGCTTGAAAGGAAAGTACTTCTGACCCTTAGACACTTATTATTAATGCTAGTTAGCACATACATAGTAGTGCTAGCTCCCAAATTGGACACCCTGGATATCAAAATCCTTGTGGTCGTCGCCAGCTCCAATTGATCACCGAACGACCGAGGTAATCTGTGTAAAGCTTGCATCAATTTCAAATTTGACTGGGAACACTAACAGTCAAGACAAGGCACATGCTACACCCGACGTGCACATATGTGCGCACCCAGCACTTATTATTACTGACTGTACCATTGTATATGTAGTAACACAAGAACGAGGTGAGTTTAGGTACGGATCTTGCATATCAGCGCTACCTACACCTTATGACCTTGGGAACCTTCTTAGACGAACATGACTACGTGCAGCACGAACCTACCCTACATACTGCATACATTAATATACAGCGCTGAAAGTAGTTGCAGAGTAGTACATTTGATGAACATACCGCACAAAGCAACCTTTTGAGGCTGCCAGACTTGAACTAAAAGCGCAGACGTGTCGGTCGCTCCAGTTGATCCCCGCCGGTTGCGCTAGCCCAAGGTGAGACTAGTACCCTTAAGCTTTCCCTTGATTGACCCACCATTCCTCAATCCACTCTACCTACCTACCTACGCCTGCCTCGTCGAAGCTCTGACATAAAGAATCCAGACCTAACCTACAAATCCTCAACAGCGCTTCTCCCCTCTGTTGAGGCCAGATCCATTCGTGTCCATCCATTTTTCCCCTTTTGCATTCTCTGTCTATTGCCCTATTTCTAGTGCTTGCCTGCGCTATTCTAGCAACGTGGCAATCGCGCCGATTCCTTTGTCGCGAGGACATCTTTGCAACCCGCCATCATGAGCGACCCTCGCGACCACGACCCGGTCGATGAGTCCGAAGACGAGGACGACTTCAACCCGGCTCCTGAAGTTGGCAGCGACGCCGAAGATAACAATGGTGGTGAAGATGAATCACCCCGACGCGCCACCAAGAGGCCATCCCCCGCGCAAAGTGCCGGCGATGACGATGATGCTGAGAACGATGAAGATGATGAAGGCGAAGACTTGAATGGTGGAAACGACGATGACGAAGATGATGAAGATGAGGAGGACGACGAAGATGATGAGATTCAAGTTAGTTGCGATCGCTTTTCCATTCTCTGTCTCTTCTTCCTTTGTTTTCACCATTTAAAAATGAATTCCCCTGCAGCCAAATGACCCTCGTCGCTTGAGCGAGAAGAGCTCTTCTAACAAGTATTAATTTGCAGGGTCATCGCCGGAAGCGTCGCAAGAACAAAACCAATGCCTTCCTTGATATCTACGCCGAAGTCGATGATGAGGACGAGGGCGAAGATGAAGACGAAGATGCTGAAGATCAGGAAGGCTTCATCGAGAGAGAGGAGCCAGGTGAAGCCGAGATTGTCGGTCGAGACGATGACACCAGACACCGAGAGCTCGATCGCAGACGTGATCTGGAAGCCAGTTTTGATGCTGAGCAACAGGCTGCCATCTATCAGAAGCGATACGGAAACCGCAAGCCCGCCAGAGGTATCGGCGAATCCGGCGTTGTGCCCCAGCGACTACTTCTCCCCAGTGTAGATGATCCTAGCATTTGGGGAGTTCGCTGTAAGGAGGGCAAGGAACGCGAGGTCGTCTTCTCCATCATGAAGCGAGTCGAGGAGCGCATGGGCACCAAAGACGAACTCGGCATCACGGCTGCCTTTGAGAGGGGAGGACCTAACTCGGTCATGAAGGGATTGATCTACGTGGAAGCGCCACGACAGAATGATATTCTTCAGGCTCTGGACGGCATGCTCAACGTGTACCCCAGGACAAAACTCCTTCTGGTCGACATCAAGGAAATGCCCGACCTACTTCGTGTCCAGAAGACTCCCTCATTGGAGCCTGGTTCTTGGGTTCGATTAAGACGGCCACCCAAGCACGCTGGCGACCTTGCCCAGGTTTTGGATATTACCCAGAATGGCTTGGAAGCACGAGTCAGATTCATTCCCCGTCTTGACGACGCCATACGCGATGACCCCTTGGCCGCCGCCACAGCTGATGGCAAACGAAAGCGCCCGGCCTTTGGTGTGGGCCCGCGTCCTCCCCAGAAACTCTTCAGTGAAATCGAAGCGCGGAAGAGAAACCCCCGTGCCCTCAACTATCATACTGGCTCGAATTCTTGGGTCTACAACGGCGACGAGTTCGAGCAGGGCTTCCAGGTCAAGGACATCAAAATCCAGCTCTTGACTGTACAGGATGTCAACCCTACCCTGGAAGAGGTGACCAAATTTGCCTCGGGAGGAGAAGATGGAGTTGAGAACATCGACTTGAAGTCACTTGCCGCAAGCCTGAAGGACAGCTCTGCAAATGTTACCTATCTTCCGGGTGACATCATTGAGGTGTACGATGGCGAGCAAAAGGGTGTAGTCGGAAAGGCTACCAATGTCCAGAACGATATCGTAACCATTGACGTCATGGAAGGAGACCTGGCCGGCCAGACCATCGAGGTTCCTACCAAGGGCTTGCGGAAGCGATTTCGAACAGGTGACCATGTCAAGGTCATTGGCGGGAGCCGCTATCGCGATGAGGTTGGTATGGTTGTCAAGATATCCGAGGACAGAGTTACGCTCTTGACAGACCAGTCTCACACGGAAATCACGGTCTTCAGTAAGGATCTCCGGGAAGCCAGCGACATTGGAGGCCAAGGTGCGCTTGGCCAATATGAAATGCTTGATCTCGTCCAGCTGGATCCCACCACTGTGGGCTGCATTGTCAAAATCGACCGCGAGTCAATGGTTGTGCTCGACCAGAATGGCGACACCCGACAAGTCCTGCCCTCTCAGATTGCGAATAAGCTGCCGAAACGCAAAATGGCTGTGGCTGCAGATCGCAATGGCGCAGAAATCAGACTGGATGATGTGGTCAAAGAGAATGGAGGCATGGCACGACAGGGCAAGATCATTCACATTCACCGCACCTTTGTCTTTTGTCACACACATGCTACGAATGAGAACGCGGGTATCTTTGTTTCTCGGGTCAGCAACGTCTCGACTATTTCGGCAAAGGGTGGCCGGAACAACGCAAAGTCATCCTTGCCGGACCTGAATTCGATGAACCCGGCTCTGAAGCGGAATCCCAACGGCAGTGCCATGGCTCCCCCACCCAAGCCCACCATCGGCCGTGATCGGCTCATTGGTCAGACCGTCACCATCAGGAAAGGAGGTTACAAGGGTCTTCTGGGTCGCGTCAAGGAAACGTCTGACACACATGCCCGCGTCGAGCTCCATACCAAGAGTAAGGTGATTAATCTGCCCAAACAGGATCTCATTGTCAAGGACCCCATCACTGGCCGTGAGATCAAGAACTACGACAGCCGCCGACCGCCGGGTGCTGCTGCACCGCGCTTCGATGGTGGTCGCCCTAGTGGAGACTGGAATGCTGGATCGCGGACGCCCATGGCTTCCTCCATGTCGAATCGGACACCTGCATGGAAGACGCCTTCTGCCCGCACCCCGGCATGGAACAAAGGCGGAAGTGGCGACTTCGGTAGTCGGACTCCAGCTTGGTCTGGTGCCGATGGCTCGCGGACCGTCAACCCCTACGACGGCAGTCGAACTGCGTACGGCTCTGGGGCTCGTACACCAGCTTGGAACTCGGGCGCAAAGACTCCGGCTCCGGATTCTTTCAGTCACGGCTCTAAGACGCCAGGTTATGGCGGCAGTGGCTCCGCGGATCCCTGGTCCTCGGGTGCAAAGACGCCGTATGGTGCTGCGGCGCCGACCCCCGGTGCAAGCGGGGGCGATACTTGGGGCTACACACCTGGAGCCTCGGGCTCATCCAGCGCGTACGATGCGCCGACGCCAGGAGCCCACATGCTCGGTGCCCCGACTCCTGGTGCCATGAATGCCCCAACGCCTGGTGCCTTCAACGCCCCAACACCGGGTGCCATGAATGCACCCACTCCTGGCGGCAATTGGCAGGGCGGCTGGGGAGCAGCCGATGCGCCCACACCGGCTGCTGGTGCCCCGACGCCAGCAGCAAGTGGTTCGTTCGCTTACGCTGTCAATGCCCCGACGCCTGGAGCTTGGAGTGCGGAAACACCAGCTGCAAGTGGCCCTCGCTATGAGGACGATTAAGCACTGTACCAAGGAAAGTTCTTGAGCTTAGACAGGATGGCGCCTGGTGTTTTCTATTGATTTTGATTGCCCTGCTCCTTACTGAGCGGAATGAACTACAAAAAAAGCAAGGCCAGAAACAAACAGGCAGGGCGTGGTTGTTTTACTGGATTTGCCACCAAGCATTTGTGTAATTCTTGATAGACAAAAAAAAAGGATCAAAAATATCGGTGTCTGCATACGGTCTTGTTTTGCGATTCCGCCCCTTTCGAGGGATGTTATCCGATTCTGTACACTCATTGACACGATGCCCCTACGTAAGCCATTTAGTCTATCTACATAAATGTCCAGCAGTCGGCCCCGCCTTTCATGCTACATGTAGACCAACCACAAATAAGGCCACCACCTAGCAAGTGACGACTGCAGGCCCGGGAGCTGTGTAGCTTGTTGGTACCGGATAGTAGATGTTGAGCATAATGCCGGGGTCGGTCGCCTTGTAAGCACCCGGAAAGGAGACACCGGAAAAGGACTTTGTTCCGCTTCCCGTGACTGTGAGTTGAGCGCATCTTGGCCAGGTCAGCAACACCCCCATGGTGAACGTCATGGTCATGGTTACGGATGTTGGTACTCACGAAATGTAAAACTGGGCACCACCGGCACTACTAGCACTATTTGTATGATTGGTGTTAGATCACGAGTGTCTACTCACGGTGCATACAGGCTTTAGGGCCCAGAAGCTGCCTACCTATGGAGCGCAATGTGTTCAACGCGCAAGAGGTAATCGCCAGGGGCCAGGCACTGGGGGATTTTGGCTGTGACCTGCGCTGCACCTTGACTAGGCCAAGTCAATCCACTGGGGGAGATGTTGGGTCCCTGGGAGAAGATTTTGAACCAGACGGCACCATCGCCATCCCAGGCCGACGCGGTCTGCCCAGACGGGACCTTGGCCATGTAGAATTGCAGTGTGCCAGGGTGGCTGACGGAGGCGTCTGCGGTGAAACCAACCGTGGAGCCTGCGGCGACCGTCTTTGTCTGAGCGCCCTCATTTCCGGCCGCGAGCTGATAGCAACGGATCTGCGACGACGTCACGTCCGTCACTGGGCCGTTGGACTGGTAGTTTGTCGTCTTGCGGACGAATTCCCACTTTCCAGAGGCAGATCCATCTGACACGAGTGCAGGAAAGGTGTCTGGTCTCTTGTGTTAGTCATGGATCACAACAGAATGAGCGTGTTGCCCAGATAGGTGGTAGGCCGGGTCCGTACAATGCGCCTGGACAGCTACCACCAGGGCGAGGATGGCCGATGCAATCTTCATTGTCCTTTATTTGTGGATATCTGGGCCGTGATACAAGTTGGGCTTCAAATTATGCTCAGATGATAATATTAGCCAAGAGTGTGCAAATGTAGTTCCGTGATCTTGAGGCCGGGGGCGACTCGAACTGCCGCTGATCCTGATGATATATAGACGTGATTAGAATCCCCAGATATCTTATGCCGAGATGAGGTCTTGGCATTTGATGTACCACACAATCTACGTCAGGGCAGCAGATGACCCAAATTGTATGCACGGCCGTTTTGGGCTCCGAGATGGTGGCATGAAGAGGGTAATCACCCGGCGGGTAAATCCAGAAAACATCAACATTGGGCCATTCGCTGGCAGGGTAATTGATTGAAGCGCTCCTTAGGTGAAGCGCGGGTAGTTTGTGCGGGAGGGCGGAAGCATGAAATCCTGTAGATTAATTAAAGGCTCATCCATGGTTTCCTCTCAACCCGAGGTCGATGTCTTGGTAAACATGTCGCTATCACGGGTTGCTCTGGAAAAAAGGGAGTGGGGGCTATTTGGGTCGTTTCCCTCTTACGATGCCTCTCCTTCTATCTTGGGTATATTAAAATCACCTCTGATGACTTGATGCTAATCTAGATGGGGTTGAAATGCTCGAGTACCGCATGATGGTGGTTTATTTGAGCCGGTAATGGTAGTATATCTGCGTGAACAAGATTGTCAAACAGTTGGATGCGCGAGTGGATATATCTACAAAGCAATCATTACACATGAGCCGGGGAAGAGGATTTGCAATCAATATGCTTCGATTGAGATTCAAACGGGTATTAAGAAGATGATGATTGTTGCCAGATAACCCCAGCTGAGCCGGTGTTGTCACCATTATCTCCACCCTCGAATAACAAGCTTGTATCTCTCACAATGGGGACAAACGGATACAGACACCAACAAAGGAGGACCATGATTCATTATGTATTTCCAGGGCCACAGACTCAATGCGTTCATTGTTGTATTTGCAAGTTATAATAAGCAACCGATGTACGCCTCTGACTGGACCTTGTAGAAGCCAGCAGTTTTAACATTTCCTTGCACAGATAGACATACAGTACATTCCCGTATCTTCGTGTCATTCTATACTCCCTCATTAGCCATCATGTGCTGGCCATCACGACAAATTTCCTACTCTTGTGGGTGTCGGCAGGCTACGTATGGCGAGGTTATCCGGTGCGAGTGTGCCAAGATTTACGGGCACCAGTGTATCGGCTTCATGGACGCGCCCGATGAGCACATCACTTTTGCACGAGAGTCTTGTCGTAGGTGTGTTCCTGACTCGGGTAGCTATAAGGAGCAGAAAAATAGTAGCTCTCCCTGCATCAAGGTAGGCAAGGATTAATAAACAGCTGGTCTCCCCTGGCAAGCCCTTAACTACGTACATGGTGCCGCTCACACCAGCCTTGGCCAACGTCTTTGGCGCTTCCCCAATAGATTTCTTTTCAATTCTTTAAGATATTTCAGTTGCAAAATATGAGCCTCGTGAGCAGTGTGAAGTCTTGTGCTGACTGGGACATGTGTAGCATGGAGGACGGTCTGCTGACATTTGTAGGTATTGGCACATTTTGTTTGACAGCAATTCAGCAGTGACTTTTCGTTCAACGCACCCCAAAGACCGATACCAGAAAGATGACGAGCAGCTTTAGTCGCACTTCTCAACGCCTCGGCCATCGTGCTCTGCTACAAGACCAAGTATATGGCAACCTGAAATGGGACAAAAAGTCTACGAGGAGAGAGAGAGAGACACAAGGGAGATCAAAGCCCATATTTCCACTTATTCCCTTTTGTCTATACGGAATTGGTGGCCACTCACTTTGTTGATTCCCAAAATTTCTTCTATAATCTGATCATGTCAATTATATTTTGTTCTACCATATCTCAATGACCGCTTATGGTCGGGCACTGACAAGAAGTTATCTGCAGTGACTTCTTGGTTTCTATTCGAATTCCAGATCAGCAATCCTGATTCCTTGTCAAAATGCCACGTCTCTGGTGGGTAATTTTCGATACGAAAATTGCACAAGACCAGCTCTGCGTTAATCATGCTACAGTCCTCATTCGCTTCATCGACTTCGAGCTCCAGTTGGTACAGGTGAAACTCGGAGAGCTTGATATCGGACCATGTCAACTCGTCCACAAACTTGCGCCTCGTATCGCCGCCGTCCTCGCCCTTGTCGTCAAATAAAGACTGCCAGTCATCCGACACATCATCGGGACAGTCGCCTTGCTCTGAGCCGTTGGACGACGAGCCATGTGAAAAGTAGTACTCATCTCTGCTCCGCCAGTATAGACGCCTCCAGAACTTGAGCTTGTCCTCGACCATAAGTAGACGCTCCTGGGCTCCCTCGAGCTCTTCCTGGAGCTCTGCAAGGTAGCCGTCGTAATACTCTTTACCTTGATCCTGGGAAAAGGTATATTGACAACGGTCTACGTCCTTGTGCTCACCATATCCATCATCTTCCGACTCCTCGACGCTGTCAACCTCCCAGTCGCACTTCCGTCTAATGTAATTGGTCGTGTCAGACGTCTCGATGGTGGGACCTTCATGGGGGAGGCGACGGCTTGGACTATCATAACCTGCATCCGACATGTATCCTGAATCCCATGATCTCTGCCTTCTCAGAGACGATGTTGCTGGTGTCACCATAGCAGTTTTTGGGCCTCACTTGGTTGATTGATTTTATCGTTAGTAAGTAATATGTGCTCCGACGCAGAAAAGAAAGTAGTAGTAGTAGTAGTGTTTTCCTTTAAGAAAATTAGAATACAGAGGTAAGTGGGGAATAAAAGAAGAGAAGAAGTCAAAATTTCGTTCGCTATGCAAAGGGAAGAGGAAGGTGAAAAGAGCTCTATGTGTACCATTTGGCCAAGAACTACCAGGATGAGTCTGTGGCTACTTATAATCGGCAGAACTTGAACAATGAAATGCATCATGGTAACATGGACAAAGACTTGCAATTACATCCTTTTGTTGGTTGTTGTTTATTTTTAGAAACGTAGTAGTACCCGTTTTCTGATTGTATTTATAGGTAGGTAGGCAACAAAGAAGTGAAGCGGGAGGAGATTCCGAGTCCGGCCCAAACAAGGACAACAATGTGTTGTAGTGCGAGACTCGAATAATTCGACGGCCAATTTGTACCATTAGCTGAGAAGGACGCAGGAGTGGACGATGATACTACAGCGTCGTTTGTTTTTCCATGCCAAGTTGACCAATCTGGGGTCACTCACGTTAGCAATGGCTTTGGTTGATTCTCCCCGGGGGAAGTCGGTCGTTCAGCTCCCTATTTCTACTGTGCACCATGGCCATGACACTCCATCGGGATGGGACATACAGCGACAATCTATCAGCCGCCGTGCACGATCCAAGGTTTGGCCTACAGAGACTTCACAAGACAAAGGCAGCCAAAGTACTGTCTGTGTACATATACCAAGACACTCGTTGTCGGCAGGTGCCGGATCGTCAATGGCAGGGGGGTTGGGAAGCGAGATACCAAATTGGGAATTGCGGAGGCAGGGCAATTGGCACGTGGGCGAGGTGCCATTTTGTCGACGTGCTCCATGCATGTACGTATGTATGTATATACGCTAGATCGTGCATGTATACCAGGCTCAAACTATTGAAATTCCTGACTTTGGGCGATGCGACGATGCCAATGTTGGCTCTCATTGGAGGCATTTCGTCATCCCGCAGACTCAAAGCCAGCGTGGTAATGGACAAGACCTCGGAGTAGGTAGTTGTAGACCGAGCGTAAACACACACACATGCACACACGAAGCCATTGCTATTCGAGTAGTCATGGCCGAGGTGCTGAGAAGTCAATGTAGAATAAAACCAGACCATAACCCGTACCTGGCACACACGATGCCCCCGATTTTTATCGTCATGTCTGTCTTGTTCCTCTTGCACAGTCACACCTCGCGAATATGGCCCTGGGCATCGTCACCACAATTGCGCTGTCTGCCTTAGTAGCGGCCGAGGTGGCTTCGGCGGCCGTGACCTTTGCCGTGCCCAGTCAGGCACTCACGGGTGGTCTCAAATACGCACCGCTTGACCCGGCGCCTGTGGGAATCTCGTACGTGAGGACCGACAGGAGGGAAAAAGGAGAAAACAAAAGATTGGGCGGATTGCTAACCATGCTGCGCGTCATATAGATTTGAATTCTTTGCTTACCCATCATACTTTACCAATGTCACGGCCACGAACCAATGCCTCGCCAACTTCCAGGCACTCACCGGCACGTGGCCTCCGATCCGGATTGGCGGCACCACTCAAGATCGTGCCCTGTACGACTCGACAACGTCCGCCTATGTTGTGTACACGGTTGCGAGCGCGGCCGATGCTCCCGCGTCGCTGACCTTTGGCTCCAGCTTCATGACCCTGGCCAACACTTACAAGGGAAGCGTTGTCCTTGGCCTGAACCGGGGCAAGAACAACATTGACAATACCATAGCAGCAGCGAAAATTGCAGTATCTGCTATGGGCAACCTGCTGGCCATTGAGCTGGGCAACGAACCGGAATGTATGTATGCGCGTGTAGGGGAATCGAGCCTAGAGTAAATAGTAGTTGACTCGACTGTGCCCTGCTGCTGACCCTCTTATCCAGACTATACCAATGACGGCCAGCCTATCGCTTCCGGCGGATGGTCTCCGGCGATAGATGCCGCTTCACAAAATAACTGGGATATACGCGTCGGCTCGGCGGTTAACAAGGCGCCCATCATCCAGGCCGGCAACTCCAATGACTCCCCTCCCACTTGGGGCGCCGCAGAGCTCATTGCTACCGAGAACTCGACAGTCAAACAATATGTCAAGACTTATGCTCATCACAACTATCCGGGTGGCACCGTTACTTCACTCATGAGCCACGCAAACATCGCCAGCAACCTGCATGTGTTTGACGCCGATGTGACTGCCGCCCTCGGACAAGGCAAGCCATATGTCTTTGGAGAGACCAACTCGGGTATGACCACGACCCCCGTAATGATGTTTGAAGCAGCAGCTGTGATGACATGACTAACGAACGTTGCGCCTCGATCAGTCTCGGGCGGCGGCGCTGCTACCGTGTCGCCCACCTTTGGGGCGGCCCTCTGGACGCTCGACTATTCCCTCCGCGCCACGTACAGCAACATTTCTCGCACCTACTTCCACCACGGCACAGTGGGCAACTGTCAGTATTGCTTCTGGGGGCGGTACAGCATGGGCGCGCCTTACTACGGTGCTTATGCAGCGACGGCCTTGCTCGCCAAAGCATCGTACTTGACGGCCCTCGACAATGGCACGACCAATTACGCCGCGTACGTGGCCTATGACTCGAACAAGGCACCGCTACGGGCTTTGCTCTACAACTCGGACTACTATGGTGGCAGTGGCACCCGCACAACCCAGCCCTTTGTGCTGACCGGGCTGACGGCGTCGTCGGTGCGAGCAAAGAGATTGACGGCAACCAGTGCCCTGTCGAGGCAGGATCAGGGACAGATCCCAACCTTTGGTGGTCAGTCCTTCACCGATGGGACCTGCGTGGTGACGGGCTCCGAGACGTACGAGACGGTTGCCGTGTCCAATGGACAAGCATCCTTTACAGTCAGTGCTAGCGAGGCTCTTGTTGTTTACCTCCAGTAGTAGGGAGGCAGCCGTTTGGACCAGCAACCCACCAGGGGTTTATTCGGGCCTGGCTCTCATCTTGGAGAGGCTATGTCATCTGATTCCTTGATGATGGAGATCAGATATGAACGAGTGACATTCGACTTGCAAAGATAGGCAAGAAACGCCCTGCACTGGAGGGATTCCTCATGACCATTATTCTTGCAGAGGAACTGCTTTATATCTCAGCCATAACTCATGAATCAAGGCAGTGTATATGATATATCCACCCAATGTATCAGCAATTACATCCGGCGATTTATTTAATCATCGAGAGGCTATTATCGAGCCTTGCAAGTTGTTTTTTTTTTTTCCTTCTCTCTCATTAGCCATTCGTTTTGGTCAGGGAGATTTCTACTTTCCTTGAATTTGGTGTAAATATATATATATATATCCCCAGACGAGGCACGGGTTGAGAGTCAGTGAAACATATATATATATATATATATATATATAGGTGGGTTCTTGTCTTATCGCATTTATTACTAACTACTGCTGCTACTACGTATCAGTATCTGCCAACTCCCGACGTCGAGAGACTTGATCATCTCTGGGCATGGCCAGGGGAGGGGGGGGAACCCCTGGTAGTGGAAGTCTGGAAGAGGGGCCAGCTGACGATCAGGCCCAGAATCCCCTTGAGCCGAACTGCCAGGGATCAGTGGCTCATTACAGAAGTCTCCGCCGAGTGAACAGCCAGCGACGCGTCCCAGGAGGATGCATCGCGTACCAATTGAATCAATCAGCCAGGGGGTGCCAATTAGAGAAGAAGCCTTGCAGCGTCTGAGCTAAGATGATCAGGACTACTCCCGAATACTCTAGCCCCGGACATCCGATGCATGGCGTTTCCGGGGGATAGAGGAAAGAGAGGGAAGAGGACCCCAAAATGAAAAAAAGTTTCAATACTGAGAGGGTTTTGATCAAGTTGACCCAGGAATAATGACGCCCGTATAACATTTGACCTTGTTTCAATTCTTGTTTTTCCATTTATTTTTACGTTTCTCGTTCCTCGTTCTCGTTATCGTGCACAGTGCTCTCGTTTTTTTCTTTCTTTTTAATTCTTTGATTTTCATTCCGGTGCATTATTGTCAATGGATCTCGATTCTGTAAACGCCCTTGTGGCGGCCCTCGTATCTAATTACCAAGATGGCGTCGAGTTTTACGCAAAGTGGCAGCGCAGGAACTGGCAGGAGAACCACTACGGAGACCGCGCAAAGGGCAAACAGGCAAGCAGTGGCAGTGGTGGCTGTTGCGGCATGAGCGCTTCGTTGAACTTCTCGGCGCATCGAATCAGGGAAGCATTTGACAAGGGCACGAGGATTCTCGGGCAGGACTTTTCAGTCGGCGACGGTATGAGAGATTCTCTGTTGTCCATATATTATTCATCCATCCATTCAACCCACACGCTGCTCCATTCACCCATCCATTCCGAGTTGGATATACCAAGTCTGGGTAAGCCTGGTGCTGACTTGGACCCATTTTACTGCTTAGAAACATGTCGTGCGTCGCTGGCTACCAACTTGAGGCAACTCCAGGCACGTATCAATGTGCTGCGCAGTGCTGCACAGGGGGCTAGCCCGCCTTTGGGACTGTATGCAGTCATCAAGGCCTCCGAGGATGTCCGCGTCTCGGCGATCCGCGCGCTCAACGAGCAGTACCGACGGCAGGCCGCCGGGCGTCCGACTCCAACTGAGCTCTCATTGGGAACCCGCAGATCGCGGGCCACCCTGTCCTTGTCCGAGGATGCGCTTGTGGCACTAGATGCCATGACGACGACGACGACGACGCTGACTGCCCAAGACGGTGGCGGACTCGGTAGCCGCTTGAACAGTCCAAGGCGGTCTCGTTACCTGGCGCTGCCAATGGAAACCATTGTGGACGGCATTGCCACCCCCGTATCTGCCGGTTCGCGGAGATCCGGCCTATTCTCCGAGCCACCATCTCCGCCGCTCACGCCGACGAGGACCGAGGACTGGCAATCGTCTCGTTCGAAGCGGTCCTCGGTCGTCTCGACCCGATCCCGACCCTTGTCCACTGCCGCTCTCGGCCTCTTCTGTCCAGAGGCCATGAGGTATCAGCTTGACCCTGCGAGGCGCGTGACGGGCAGGGCCTGCAAATGCGGTCAGGACCTCTCGGCACAGTCCACCGGCGAGCACTTGCCCATGAATCTCAAGGAAGGCTTCCAAATGACACCTAGATTCGTTGCCAAGTCCCATCACGTCGGCGCTGGATTCGGCTGTGTTCTGTGCATCCCAAACGGCCACGTGGGCACGTTTGAGAGTCTTGCCTCACTTAAAGATCACATTAATACCAGTCACGACAAGTGGCAGATTCTACATGATCGAGACTTGGCGACGGGGTGCTGAGAATTTCCAGAAATCCATCTTCTCAGAGTGGAGAAGATGGCGTCTATCACATTGTTATGTACAACTGGTGACATGGAGGCGGAACACGAGTCTTTGGAATCATGAGTGCGACGTACGGCATGAGTCGTGTTGGTCCATTATGTAAATTCCGCGGGCAATGAAGTAAATGGCCCTGTCGTTCGTGACTGGCTTAATGTTCGACTGTATAAGTATAGGAAGATTCTCCCAGCTGAGCTCCCCACTAAACATCCGGAAAAACATGGATCATCTCTAACAGAGAGCCTGACACCTTTGACTCTCTGGTAATAATATTGTGTGAAGACGCGAGATGTGAGTAAGAAGAAGAGAAGGTCCCCGCACGGTTGGCAGGCTCCCTGCGCAATGAATAGTCAGTGAATAATGGTGGGCGAGACTTTAGATCTCTGCGGGCAATATTGTAAATTCCACATACTCACAAAATCCGTCTCGTTTCGTATTTCTCTCTCTCTCTCTCTCTCTCTTCTATTTATCCCGAGATATCATGTTTGTACGTCACCGTCGTCGGCCCAGCAAGTAATGATCATGGTCAAAATTGCCCGTAATATGCACAACCTGGTAGGATGCAGCCATATTTGTTGGTCGTGACGGTATCATTGGTAACAGATGTACAGCCAACATCTCTACAGGCTACCGTGAGCTCGGTGATTCGGTGTCCGCACTTGTGATGGATAAAAATTTTATGTTTACACATCGGAGGCTGGGAGAGAGCGAGAGCGGGAGCGAGATGGGGTTGAGAGAGGGGTCAGGAGGGAAAATGTGATGGCAATGTAGGTAAATAGATGGCGGATAAACCTAGATCCAAGGGGTCTAGAGCAAGGAAGTTGCAAAGTATAGGGGGGGAAGTAGAAGTTGGACAGCTAAATCAACTGCATCGCATGTTTCACGTTTCATAGTCCTCGTTCGTTCTTTATACATGCATGTGCAAAAGAGGAGGAGGCAGACAAGTTGTCGCCAACTTATCACCCCCGATGGTAGATAGAGGAGGGTTGGCGCCAGAAGTGGGATGCCTGCTAGACTCGCCCCCATGGCATGACTTATCCCATTTTTGGAGGTTTTCTCATGGTTATCGTAAAGAATAAGACCAAAAAAGGGTCAAGTGCTCCGAATGGGTTGTCAAGCTCGGAATGCTGCATGTGAGAGAGACAAACAGACAGACTCAGAGAGAGTCAACGTAGACGAGATCGAATATACGCTTGGGCAATAATGAGGATTGCACGATGACAGTCACGAGCCAGTCGGCACGCAGCGAACCGTCCGTCCGTGTGGGTGGGTGGGTGTTGCTGGCCGAGGCTCTTGTAGATCTATATAAAATGGAGGCAGCTATATGACCAAGTATCTTTTCCATGGACTGAAAGCAAATAAAAGAACGAGCGTGAAGAAGAGAGCTATCATGGACCGTATCCATCTCGATCAGGCCAAGTTCATTCGCTTCAACATGGGATTTCGGCGCTGTTCTGCCCAACTCGATCCTTGCAAACATAAAATTGAGAGAACTAAATGGAATAATTCACTCGAAGGGGTTCGGGGCCAGTATCGGCATTCGAGCGCATTGCCAAGATGGGGTGACGGCGCGGGTGTGATCGCTGGAAGGGGATACTTCTGGAAGTAAGGGGACATTTCTGAAACTCGGACTGTGTGAGGTAGATGAAATATATATATATAAACTTAAAAAAAAATAGGCCCTTGGCTTGAAAGTATTATTATAGCTCGCCCAACGCTATATTGTACAGGGAAACTGGAACAACTCTGCACGGTATCACGCGATCAAACGACCAATCTTGTAGGATAATGGAGTAGATGGGTTGTCACAAGAGGTCATCTCAGCCCCCCTCCTCCTCCATAATTTCCCACACATGTTATACGAAAAGACTTTGGCACTTGACGCCCCGCTTCCCAAGTTATTCTCTTAAAGTTATGCACGGTTATCAATGCAACACTACATACACATTACACTATGTTTGTTGACGAGCTCCCCGTGCTTCCAACCGGGCACAAGCAGGCATGATCCGATTGACTAATGATATTATTCATGCTCTGAGTAATCCCAGCGCGTGTTACATAGCCGGCCCCATTGGTCGGCTGACCATAAAACAACAAAGTGAAGCATAAACATAACCATGCTCAGCCGCCAACCCCATCGCCAGCGGGTGGAGCTCGACCGGTACGGCTGCCGCGGAGGATTCCTTTTGTGACTCCCTATGAGCTCATCCCCGCGTGGCGCCCCGAGGTCCATCGCGGCGAGGCCAATCAGGGCGGTGCTGATCTCGAGACGAGCCGCCAGCGGCCGACAGACCCGAGCCAATGATATCATCTTCACCATGAATGAACTAAAGCGCACCATGAATATAACAGCCTCGTTATTATCATTGTAGAAGTGGCTTAGGCCATGCCAGGCAAGGGCCCTCCTGTGCTGGACATCACCCCAGAAGGTAGACGGGGGCGGCATAAGGAGTGGTGGAGAAGCCCTAGGTGAGTGGTCATTTGCCTCATCGTCGGACCAGACTGAATCTCGGGCTTGTCCATCTTGAGCTCTCGAGAGCACCGTGACGTGTGGATGGCCATGACGGCTGGATTTTGGGTGCTTCTGCAAAGTACCCGCTAGGTCGGCCGGCGCGTGCGTCGACTCGGGAGGTGTCCAGGCAATCTTGTCGCCGTTCACTGATTCGTCCCCCACTCGAAAGCGTTGATGCTTGATGGGCTCTGCCACAGGCGTGCCGGGCACTAAGGGGGAGTCCAAGGAATGCACCCGCCGCTCATGCATGTTGAGTGGCGGGCTGGCCCCCATCGACTCCCGGCGAGGTGTTCCCATGTTGGACTCGTGGTTCATGGCGTCGAGCACGTCGGCCGCTGTTGGCCGATCGGTCGGGTTCAAGGCGAGCATCTGCTTGAGAAGATGGTACAATTTGGCGGGGAGATCGGGCCGCTCCCTTTGCTCGTCCTGAAAGCCCTTCCAATCAGCAATCTCCGCCCTGAGCAAATCAATGTCTTCCAATTCCTCCTGTATCGTGTTGGCATTGGCATACGGCAGCCGGCCAAAGCAGAGAAAGTATAGAATCATTCCGAGGGAGAAGACGTCCGACTTTGTACTAAAATTGCCAAAGCGGCCCGCACCATCCTGTGTTAGGACCTCGGGCGCGCAGTACGAAATGGTGCCAGTCGTGCCCGTGGATTTCCTTACGGCGTTCTCGGGTTGGACCTCACCAAAGTCGCTGATCAGACAGGTAAGCTTACCATGCTCTTGGTGGAGCAGACAGTTACTAGGCTTGAGGTCGCGGTGAATATAATTGGAGCCATGCAGGTAGGCCAGACCAGAGACTATGTCCCGGAATAGAGAATAGATTTCGTCAAAGGTGAGGTGGCGTTGCGAGAAGAGGTCGGGCTTCTCGGCCTGGCCCTTGGATCGCCTGCGCATCTGAGCCTTGAGCTGCTCCTTGGTCTTCTCCTTGGGTTGGTCGCCTACTACATAGCGCAAAAGATCGCCGCCATTGCAGTACTGCTGTAGAATAAAGGCGCAAGCGACACTGGGACCGAAACGAAGCAGCTTGACATCTTCGAGCCAGACATGACGGTAGGATACGAGGTTTGGATGCGACAGTTTGGCAAGAAGTTCGACCTCGACCAGGACCTTTTCGAGCCAGGCGTGGTCGTCACCAACAGGCACGCGCTTGCAGGCAAAGTGGCCGAGATGGCACCCATCGATCTCGTGGCGAACGAGCAGCACAACACCCTTGCCACCGCGGCCCAGCTCGCGCTCCTCGACAAAAAAAGTTCTAAAGTAGTTGGGGCTAAAGGCCTCGCGGGTGATGCGTGGCCCGGGGGCGGGGGCGCTCGAGACAAACTCGGCGTCTTCCCCGACATCGTCGTGAACGGCCGACTCGTCGTAGACGGGCAGGTTGGGTTGGGTCAGCCTCCGGATGGGACTCGAAGGCGGATGCGGCGGTGCTTGGCGCCGAGCAGCACGGAGCATGCGAAAGTAATTTGGATTCATGTAGGACTCATCGTGGGTGGCGGGACTCTCAAAGTGTCGCTCAGGTGAAGATGAGCGGGTCCTCAAGGGCTGGTGACAGGTTGGACACTCGGTCAGAGACAGGCCGCGGATGTCGAGACGTTGCGAGGTAGGATCACGAACGACCAGGGCATTGCGATGGCGCCTGTTAACATGGAAGCAAGATAGTACATGTCAGCCAAGTTGGGAGAGAACTCTTTGTGTCAACTCTTTCGTCGCTGCTTCTCTCTGTGTTCTTCAATGGTGTTCCAGGAAGCACCAAATAGGTCAAAGAGTGCGAATCTCACAAGGGCAGAGAAGGACGTACAGTACAATCTCGCGGCCCTCTCGCGAGGTGTAGGGGATCAATTCCATAATAGTATGAAGTGCTAGCTAAACAAGCTAGCTTGAAAGGTCCCCTTCTGCTCTCGTCATCAAGTTGACGCCTATTGGCTGTCAAGGCAAATAAATGCCTGGGAAGGCGCCAATAATGACGGCGAGGATGCTCATGGAAGGGGACAAAGAGTAGAAAGAAGCCTCTCGGAAGGGAGTGCGTAGTTGCCGCCGCCGTCTTTGTCGTCTCTGTAGGAAGCAGAGTAGTGGTTGATGTAGATTGTATTAGGTAGGTGGTTTGTATTACAGTGGTGACATGTGCGACGGGCAAGCAGCAGGTAGTTTGGTGCCGAGTCAATCAGGATCAGTCTTGTCTGTCGCTGCTGGAAGTTGCATTATTTTTTTGTTTTGATATTTTGTGTTTGTTTGTTTCACTCGTTCCTGTCTCGTTCACGTCTCGCCCCGGGCTGGTCGCAAAAATTGACATAGGTCCGATAGATACAAGAAGTTTAGTTTGAGTTCCTACGTGGGTTGACTGAGAGAGTGACATGAGCTTCAGGACTCCTTCCTTCCTCTGAGTGGGGAAAGACATTCATTGCCTTGGCCTATTGGAAGCACCAGCTCCCCAGTGCCACTAGGTAAGGAATGTACCTTTACAGAAGCGGGGTGGAAAGACGAGGGCTTTTAGTGGGTCAAGGAATGTACTGGTAGAGTCGAGCTGAGCCATGCATGTACCTTCACGTGGGGAAGTCAATAGGCTGCACATGTTTAGTCTGCATCCATGCCCCGTTAGCTGCATGTTGCCCTAACGGCGACACGGCCTAGCCGCCAGCGCCAAAGTACCGGCTGCCTACCAAGAATGTAGGCTCTGAGACTGGTTCCATTCAATCATGTACCACCTGGGGCAGGGCACTGACCCCCACTCAAGTGCTGCTAACCCGAGTTCAACGTTGCGCTTACTGACTGATGGCCCATGGGGTAATAATGAGTATCAATTTTAATGCCACTCAAATCTCTCTCGTCTCCCATCATTAATGTATCCATGCCAAGTCTCTCTGTGTCGGCACTCTGGTAGCGAGCGTGTGAAATTCACTACGTAGTGATAATGATTGAGCCAAGCATTGCACTGCCCCGCGTGATGCGGGTATACTACCAATACGCGATAGAAATGCGGCTATGTACACGGTATTATCATTACTAAAATAAAGTCTCGATGCATCCCCCGTCCATCCTAGGCGAATAGACACAGAGAGTATCATTTACCGCATGGGCAGAGACAGATGATCGCCTTCTCCGTCGGCCCACGAATGATCACTTTGTGGACTATATAGTGCTACAAATACCACGATACGTGGTACTACTACCCGATCCACCTCTCTAGGATATCTCGAACTAAAGCTGCAAGGGACGTTGTGTCAATTTCTACCTTGTCAGATGCCCGCCGGACCGAGCTGAATTCCTGCTGTCCCCGGATCTTATCCTCCGAGAACCATGCTCCATGTAACCCGTACGGGACTCTCTGCGGAAGCTTGACCCTGGCCACCACATCCCTCATGTTCCGGGCGTCAATGATCCAGAGCTCGCTGATTGCATCCTCGAGGCACTCCCCTTGGTCATTGAGTTGCGACTCGTCAAACACGTACGTCAGGAGCCACCCGTCGTCCTCGCTCACTGCGTTGCGACGAGGCACAAACCGCGGCTCCTGTGTGAACCACCCCTCGGGCATCTTGAACATCTTGATCGGATCATCCGGGTCGCTGCTGTGCATGATCTCGTCGATCCCTCGAGTGTCCACGCACCCCTTGATCTGCTGCGGAGGGTGCTCCTCGCCCCGGGCTATCAGTGTCTGCGCATCAATCTTGGCCAGGTAGTCAATCTTGGCCGCCTTGCCCAGAGCCGCCGAGTAATAAGACGATGATCCCGTGCTGCACCCGTAAATGTACCGCGCCGGTCCCATCTCGTGCGCCGCCGACAGAGTCGGAAACTCGAATGGGATCGCCGAGAGTGCCCATTGGTTGCGGATCGTCGGTCTTTCCGTCCCGTCCCGTGTGAGCGGAAGGTTGAAATAATAAAGTCGACATTGCTCCTCCTCGACGTATTCGGGAGGAACTGGCTTGGGCACGGGTGGTGCCAATGCCCCCGCACTGTACACGACAGAGGCCGACGTGAGTCGGCAGGCCAGTAGATGCACCGACGTCTCTGGTAGCGGCTTGGTGCTCGTCGTCTCCCAGCAGTTGGCCGTGTGGAAGATGACGCAGGCATTTGTCTCAAACCATTGCACCTCGTACGGCTCGTACCGGGGAAACACGCCGAATCGCGACCGCTCCGTCGGGTCGTACGAGACTACTGGCTTCCCGCTCAGGCTGTTCATGGGATTGAGCGATAACGGCAGATCCATAATTACCGTGTGCCGCGCAGACACGCCAAAGTCGTGCATCATCTTGGGCGAAGCAACCCCCGGGATGGGCACATTGAACCGCGGGCCAAGCGTCGGCGGCGTCCATTTCCCGGCCGGCTTGCTCGGTGGTATGATGGAGTAGAAGACGTATGGCTTGATAAAGACACCATGGAATGCTATCATTTCCCCCGTCACCGGGTCGACCTTGGGATGGCCTGTCGTCCATTCTTTCATGAAGGCAATGGGCGAATCTCCGCCGAACCCAGCTCGTTGGTCCCGGCTAGGCTCATTCTCTGCCTTTCGCCCATTGTACCAACCTACAGTCTCCAAACTGGGCAATTGAAACCTCATCGGCGGGCCACTCTCGCATGTTGCAAGGGCCCGGCCGTCGTGGTACACCACGCTTGTGTTTGCTACGCTGATCTTCTTGACCCGCCGCCTGGATCCGGGGAGGCTGGAAAGGAGGACTAGTAGAATCGTCCGGATGACTGTCATGATTATGGTAACAAGCGAGCCACTGACCAGTGTAGCAATGCTAGGCAGTAGCGGTCTCTTGAGGTTTTCGTTGCCTTGAGCATTGAGATGCACATCTGTGAGAATATATTGATTCACAAATCGTGGGATGACGTCGGATCCCTTCTCACCACCCCTACTGAACAGAACACCGCTGAGCATGCCGTCTCCATCGAACCAGTGCGCATCTCTACCAAGGTCCTCGTTGGTTGTTGGGTTCCCGCCGTTGCGAACATACTGTCCTCCAGCCAGCTCCATTGGGATCACGCCAGTAAACGCACAAGGCGTGAGAGGTCGAGTGCGCTGGATTGGGGCAAAGTTGCCCGACAGATATCTGTGGTCGAAAATGAGGACACTAACCAATACACGATGGCTGGAAAGCACTCGTTTTGGCATCGAGTTAGGACTTACGGGTGAGAACCGCGCACTTGGGACGGTTCGTCGTTCCTAGACGCAACCGTCCGCAACAGTGATTCCGACATGATGACCAGACTCCTCAACAGCCAGCTCTCATTGCCAACAGATTTCCCTTGTGATCACAACGAGAGAGTGAGAATGCGACTGGCTGCATCCACCACGTCTTTGCACTGGTCAATGTATAGACTGTTACAATGCCCAATGTCGTAGATTGGAGGGAATCGTCCAGTCCAAGGGGGGAAGAAAAGATACCAAGTAACACAATGAATGTAATGGGTATATACTTAAGGTATCTCGTGAAAGCTTGACTCGGGTTGCATCGCATGTAACACTGCCAAAGCTGGGGTGCAGTGACGCCTTGGATGGAGCTCCAATGCGTGGTTGGCTTTATGACGGCATCGATTGGGGGAGGGGAATGGAGGGGGTAGCCTGTCCTACCTGTATCTGCAAGCCTATCCCAGTGTTACTACAGAACAACAAACAAGGGAAGGGGGGGTTTTACAGAATCCGGATACTGCTGGACATCAATCATGGTCTTGTTTACGTACATTGAATAATTCATTCAAACTAACCTTAGGCCGGTTTGGCGGAAAGCACGTACTATGGTTTTTTTAAGGGATGTTTTTACTCCGATGGGGCCCGTGATGAACCGAATACTACTACTATGCATAGAGAAATGTCGGCTCCCACGGAACGAACCAACATGCTGCTGCTACCCTAACCTAGGTAGGTAATGAGCTACTACTGAGCAATGATCATCGCCAATCGTGAATATGCGGGTATAAGCCGTCTTATTTCAAACCTAGGCCTAGGCCTATCTCTGAAGAGGAGGTAAGGAGGAGGCTGGACAGTGGGAAAATGCCAAGGTAAAGGTTGGTGGATTTGCTTGCTGCAATGTCGGAAGAAACCACAGACTTGCCTGACGGCAAGTGCCGGCATTATAAGCTGGTGACATGTATTTAGTGTTCATTCCACCGCAGCACAATGCAGCTTAATTGACATGGTGTAGTATTGTTACATGAGTTGATTGAATATACATACAGTCAAGCAGATGGTTTCTGTTATGGCCTGTTAAATTGCATAGCAGCAGTCAGCAATGGTAAATCCGTGCTGCTTGCTATATTGTTCTCTCCGTTCCATGTCTCATTCACTCATTCATCAATACTAAATTGACCACAAGTGGGGAGGAAAGAAGCGGAAAATCACGAGTAGTAGACAGAAATATTTAGATTTGCACGTTTTCCCTGTGCTTGCTGGCTGCCCGTCCAATGAGGAGGGGTCAATGCACAGGAAAAGGCAGTCTATGATAGATGATATCATGACCTTGGGAAGGCCTTTGCACCAATGGGTTGACAGGGTGCCGCTACTGCAAGTACTAGTGGTGATTCATTAAGCTCGAACCGATGCAACTGCATTTCAGAAGAAGAAGAAAAGTCAAGTTTAGTCCAGCATGTTGCTGCTAAAGCTACCATCGTAGGTCGGTAGTAGTCCATGTCTGCAAGGTGCTCGGAGCTCTGCTCTCCTCACCTCACATCATCTCACCTCCCCACGGGTCAATCATGGACTGCAGTTGGATGGTAATCAAGAGCCGGCATCAAACTAATGCAACCAAACGTGACCTGGCCTCGCATGTGTACATACATTGTTCTCATTGCTTCCTTCCACGACCCTCCGAAGCTGCCGTTCGCCATGGTGGTGGTTGCGTCCAGGGATGGATGACACTGAGCCCGTCCTTGACTATGCATATCCTTTCCATATACCGTAGAACTATCGTGACTTCCTGCCAACACTCATAGCTCCGGCTGTTACTGCCTAGGTACGCTACCACTCCATTTTGCCCTTTGAGTACAGCCAACAGAGTAACGCTTCACCATCGGCAGGCTTGCATGGCTCAAAAGCTTGTTTGTCGATCTAGGGCGGTCCAGTCGATCACGTACCATCCATGTTGTTGTCGACTAATTTACAACCGGCAATGAATGTTTATATTTTTTGGGGGGTCTCGTCAGCCAGCCAGCCATCCATCCATCCCATCCCTTCCATACCACCCAATATCATGGCGCGTGCGAGAGAGCTCAGACCTCGAAGCTCACACAAACGTGCGCGGAGCCCTCGGCTCCCAAGAAAAAGTGAGTAAGAACTTTGTACCGCTTATGCATGCTCGAGGACAGTGACGACACTATTGCACCTGTTGGGGAGAACGTTAGGCACCGTCGGCTATAGCTAGGTAGGTAGGAAAATGAAGTCATCGTTTCTAAAACGTCAATGTGCCCGCTCGGGGAGTATTCAAATACCCTCGACTCAACCTAATTTCTCATGGCCTTGATGAGTTCGAAGCCATTACTGTGAGCACTATTCAATTCAGGTGTCATATACCACTGCTACGACTATTCCCTATACCACGTCGACATTCCTCAGAAAGCTCTCACCAATCTGGGACAGCCCTCGCATAACCAAGATGCCTGGCAACGAGGCCGTTCAAATCAATAACGTGGTTGGCCAGCAGGCCAACCTGGCTATCACCAACCACGGATCAGATTGGTATTATACCGTCTGTGCTGTCATGGGCGTCTCGACGCTTGCCTTTATGGGATTGGCACTCAGAAAGCCTCAGGGCCATCGGTTGTTCCACTACATCACTGCTGGCATCACAGCTATTGCGTGCATAGCCTACTTTGCCATGGGTTCCAATCTTGGCCAGGTGCCCATTCAAGCCGAATTTGTGCGACCACGCTCTCACTGGGTCGGTTCCGCAGGCACTCGCGAGATCTTCTATGCCCGCTACATTGACTGGGTTATCACTACGCCTCTTCTGCTACTGGACCTGCTTTTGACGGCTGGTTTACCCACTCCAACCATTCTCATCACCATCTTTGCCGACGAGATCATGATTGTCTGTGGCCTCATCGGCGCTCTCACTCGCACCTCGTACAAGTGGGGTTTCTGGACTTTTGGCATGGCTGCTTTCTTTTACGTCGTTTACAATCTGCTGGGAACTGGTCGGTCGCACGCCAGTGCTCTCGGTGGTGCACCCAAGAAGACCTACATGCTCTGCGGTGTCATGCTCACCTTCCTCTGGTTCCTGTACCCCATTGCCTGGGGCCTGAGCGAGGGAGGTAACGTCATTCATCCCGATTCCGAGGCTATCTTTTACGGTATTTTGGACATCTTTGCCAAGCCGGTCTACGGTGCTCTCCTTATCTGGGGCCACCGCAATATCAACCCCTCTCAGCTCGGTCTTCACATCCGTGACCCCGGCCAGACCAGTGAGAAGTATCACAACAATGGTCTTCACAATGGCCATGGTGTGACTGGACCTGACCGTGCCGTTGGTACCAATGGCACTCACACCACCGGGGCGAGTGCTGCCGGTGCTGGTGCTCCTACCGCCACAGTCTAGGAGACGACAGTCGCAACTCAAAGAGACTGATTCGCACTCGAGACTACTGGAAGCTGATTCATGCGGAGGGCGGACAAGTCGGGGTTTTGAGAACGAAGCGAGGACGTTGACATAACGTAGGCTTCAAGTCAGCTCTGAGTTATATGACGTGTTGTGGAGAGGTGCCGATACTGTTTCGTATGTTGTATGGTTGGAAATACCCACGGTCTTTCTTAGTTAATCACAAGGTCGGCTGCGTCTTTGTAATGGGGATACTTGGCTAACTACTTGACCAACTTAATATAATGTGATAATTAAAAACGAAATTCAATTCTCAATGGGATCCTCTATCATTGGCTACGTCAATTTTCGTAAGCTGTTCACACAAGATAACCCTTTTATCAATGTAGCAACTTTGCCTAGCTGCTCCTTCATACGAGTAAGTATAGTGACTATAAGTTGTACTGCTTTGATAAAGTAGTTCTGACTGACACGAGGAATGCGAGTGGGCAAACTCATGAGCCCATCCGTGTCACCGCTACTCTCAATGTACAAGGCGTGATTTGTGTTTTATATATTGCACATGGCAATGCAAATAACAATATATATTTAGCAAGCTCCTTCATCACTAGAAAGAAAACAAACTTCAACCACAGAATTAGCATGGCAGACGACACATTAGGGATTAGGCATCGCTAGTTTTAGCCACGACGTGTGCCAAGTGCAGCCATTTACGTTCTGTCGATTTCACACGGGGCTTGGGTCGGTACAAGCATCGAAGTCATGGCCTCGTGTGCTCACTACATGTCTGTGTCTGTGTGTAAACTTATATAGGCTTTTGTCACAAAGGAATCTACTGATTGAGCGGCAACTTTGGTATTACTCTGCATGTCGTCGTCAAGTCAGTGTACACTCAGAATGACATGGCTAGTCACGTGAAGTTCTAATTACCACGTCTACTTGTGTGCGTTTGCTAATGCTTGCGTCAATTTGCATGGTGTCCTCTCTGCCCATGGCCAACCAGCTTTCCAGCGGCTAAATGTGCTATCATAACCCCGGATTGATTTGATGGTGGTCAGCCCGACGTCGGTTATCATCAAGATGGTGACTAGAAACACCATATCGGCGATGACTACTCATTCAACACTCCATGATTAGGTACAGGCACAGACACTGAATGAGTTGAAAGACTAATACTGTTGTTCGTTAGCCGAGTCCATCTTGATGACAACTACGGTGTGTGATCTCGAGGCGCCTCACCTCGAACATGAAACAAAAATTGAAAAGAGCAAATGGATATCGATCCGCACTATTACACTGTGCATGAGCTTACCTTTGTCCTCCATAAAAGTCTGGTGCTCATTCTAAAATTTGGCTTAATAAATCGGCAAACTGCGCTACTCACTTAGACGCAGAAATATAAACATAGATGACAAATCGAAGCACGTGGTGAAAGCCAGGGCCCTGATCGAGGCAGACACGTCGGCCCTGTATGTTTTGGTTTTGAATAGCCAATTCTGTGGTATACCATCCGACGCCTCGAAAACTACAATGAAGATGGGTCGTATAGCCACGAAGTATTTTCATATAAGAGCTGTCTTGTATCAAGTATTAGTCACGGGTAAAGAATTAGATATTCCACCGGCGGTCGCTAATACAGGTGGGTATATATATGAAAGACATGCAGGGCCGACTCATGAATAAGTAGAGACTAATGATATTATTGATCGGTACCTGCTAAGTTGCATTTATCTAAATGATGTTTTGTGATAGCAAATTCGATATCACTTAAAGGAGAACCGGAAAGTCGGCTGTCATAACGACCAAACTTAGAAAATATTATTTTATGTATCGTGAGAGTAACCCGTTCATTATTTATTATATTTTCATGGCACGTTCAATGATCTATGTCATGGATTGAAATTGGCCGTAAGACTTACTCTTTGAATATGGGCACTTGTACGTACAGCTATCACCGAGCTCACATTCCAAGTAATTAAATTATAGGTTTTTTGTTGCACTACAACATAGAGTGAGTGATTACGGGCCAAGTCGTTTGAGACAGTCTCATTCTGCGATTTCGCTACGATGTTTCCTTGGTCCAATATGCGTTGATAATCAGCTTGGCACATCCGAAAACTGCAAGCTGCAGCAGGAGGAGACAATGTTGCTGTATGTTTGTCACATGTCGACTGATCCAATGTTCCGCCGTCTATGCTGTTCTTGCTCTTATCTGTTCTTTGGAGCCGTATTTCCGCAGCAACTCATTCTGCCGTCTCTTGTGACGTGATTCTCTGCAACGGAACAGCGATCAGCGCTTGCCAAGATCTTTTTAGCAAACCTTATGATTTGGAAGCCCAGGCCCTTTCAGCGGCTGGAAGTCTTGGCGCTGGCCTACAACTCCGTTTAACCCGACGAGATATGGGATGTTTTGTTTCTTTTTGGTTGGGGCGGTTCGGGCCAGAGCCTACTCCTGGCCTATACTGGCGGATGCAACTACTGAGGCTGAGTTGATACTTCCAGAGCCTGAGACAAATATTAGACACACATTTGGTAGCAGCCAATCTGACAAGTCTCAACGGGGGAATTAAACAATAAAGAGATAGGTCATGAGCTCAAAGTATCTGGAAGTGGTTGGAGCCAAGCAACGACCAAGATTGGCGTCAGGGTGATTCTCCTCCCTCTTGGCCATTGTCCTCGGTCCAATGACTTGACCCATGCATGCTGCTTGTCTCGCTTACGATAGGTCCCACTTCACAAATCATATTTTCTTTTCCGCCTCATATCGTGAGAACTCGCGTGTATTATCCCTTCTTCCGTTATCAATTTCGTGTATACTATTCTCGTGGGCTACGGGCTAGAACACACTGGGTACCCACATAAAGAAAACGCCATGTTTCCTTCTCTCTTCCTTTTTTTTTTTTTTTATAAAAAATTGCCTAGCGCAATAGATTATCCGAATCCACAGAGAGGAAATGGGATCATCATCAATAACCATGATCCAGGGCTTACAAACACATGCAAGCAAGCCTTGGGGTTGTCGTCAAGGAGAGACTATAGAAAGGCATCAAGAACAGCAAAGGGTAGGCAGGCACTTCGCAACGGCCTAATCTGCATTGCGTAATCCGCCCAAAGTTATTCAAACTGTCCTCTGCAGGCCCCAGGGACTGCATAGCTTGAGTGGACATCGGTAAAGAATGACGACGGGTCATTTTCGATTTGGTCAACCGTGAAGCCGTAGCCAGTGTCAAACCCATCTGCGTCCTTGATACCGGTAGTAAACGGTCCAGTGGCACAGCCGACACTGATTCTCTTTCCAAGAGGCTGGAGAGGGTCGAATGGCACAGGGTTTGGGAAGGCAATGCGCGGCGGGCCGTTCTCACCCCTCTGTGCCTCGTGGATGTGGGTGGCCGTCTTGGCGGGCGATTGGTACTCGCCTTGGAAGCCGGTGAGTACAATGTTCCAGCAGATGGTGTTGGTAGATGAGATGAGACCGTAGTTGAACACGCCACGAGCCCCAGCAAGGCCGCCGCTGGGGTTCCCATCGGTCCCAATGACCTCCTGGGGCCAGGCTGCAATACTGTAGGTCGAGGTGAAGGCGGCGTCGGCACTCTGCCACTGGCCCCAGCCCTTGTATGGCCAATTGACTTTATTCCAGTTGATCTTGAAGTATGGAATCTGGCTCCAGTCAACACTCGACCAATCGACCTTGCTATAGTCGAACGTCTTCCAGTTGACTCCACCCCAGTTGAAGGCACCCCAGGGGCCATGTCCATGACCACCACCAAACCCTCCAAAGCCGCCAAAGCCGTGGCCGAAGAACCCAGGGCCAAACGCTGGGGCTGCCATGACATTGGAAGCCAAGACAGCTGCCGCGGGGAGGACGATAGATGCCTTCATAGTTGATGCGTAATTGGAAAGGATGGATGTATTTCAACAAGACTGGATGGATTATGGTGATCCTCGAGTTGGTCCCTGTAGGTTTGAAGTTATTATAGACGAGACCAGGAGCTGGGGGACATATTTATATTCAGACATGGCAAGTAACTTGCTCCCCCAAGTCTTAGTTTCACCTCCGGACCACCTTTGGCGGCACGCAGGCGCGGTAAGGAAAGAGAAGTATAAGAAGCGGCATGGCGACACACGACTTGCTTATTTGCCAGCAGGCCAAGGCATCTAGACCTGATATACCTCTAGGACGGCAGCATTGATCCTTTTATATAATAGACATATGTGTCATAAGTTACAACTAACTTGTAACGATGGTGCCCTCCAGGACCACGTTACTGGCTGTCACCACCATATAACTGGTCCGTACGTACGTAGCTTAGTCCGTCAGCTTTCAACTTTGACATTAATCCCCCGTATTCTGCCGCACCTCACTTATATAGTCATTTTTTTCGCTAATATATCGCTATTTATTAAATTATATTGCTTTATATTAATATTCGATATAGCTTATTCCTCCCCGCTTAAAATAAAGCTTTACGGATTTAAATTATTTTAAATATTTATTAATAAATTTAAAATCGTTATATAATTTTAAAATTTAAAAGGCTATATATAATTAATATAAAGACTTTTTAAAATTTAGCCGAAGCTATTTAAATGAATATATTATACGTAAAATTAAAATATTACATTATTAAAAATATTAATTATAAATTAAATATAACGATTATATTACGGGTAGAGTTAAAAAATAATAACCGTTAAATTAACCGCATTACGATTATTTTAGCCGTATAAAATTCAGATTTAAATTTAAAATAACCGTAATTATTAAGGTTGGCATTTAATTAACTACGAATTACGCGTAATTAATAAATAGCCCGAGTAAAATTACCGTAATTAATTAGCAATTTAAATAAAATTTCGGTAATTAATTAGACTTTTAAATAAAATTAAATTACCGTAATTTATTTAATAACTATATTAATTAACTAATTACGATCTAATTAAATTAAGTTAAATTAAATAAGCGTTTAATTAATTTTATCAAATAAATTTACATAAAGGAAATAAAGGAGATAAAAGAATAAAAGGAAATAAAAAAGATTATTAATTTACCTCTTTTAATAAATCGTCCGGCTATAAAAATTTCTATATTTCCTTTGCATTTCTTAAACCTTAATCTTTTAATAAAAATAATTATCTACTTATTTCCGGGGTGAGTTTATTTCGTGATTTAAAAATAATATAATTTAACGTAGAAAAAACCCGTTTTAACGACGCTGAAGAAGCTGGAATACCTAAGTATCGCCGGGCTAATATAGCTAAAACCGGATATTTAAACTGGTTATTCTTTTAGTAAAGTAACGGATTATGCTATTAAATAAATTAGTAAATATAATAATTTAAAAAAAATTAACTTACGTTATATAAAGCCAACGGTTCGTTAAAATAAGCTTCACACTCGTTATTTAAAACAACGGTAAATCGATTTAAAAAGAAACTCTCTTCATCCGAATTATCTTATAATTAGTCTTCGTCAAGGTTGTGAAACAATTAACTAGCAGTTAAACTGGGCCCAGTTCCAGTTAATTTAAGTTAGTTCGACTGCTAATTATAATTAGCCTAATTAGCTTACCTTATAATTAGAACTAATTTAAGTTTTCTAAATTGCTAATTATAACTAATTAAGCAGTTATTTATATTAATTTTAAATAGAATAACTTAAACTAAACTGGAATAAATAAACTAGTTAACTAGGTATATAAAATAACTTATTAATAAGGTTGAAATTATTAAGTTGAGTTTTAAGTTTGAGTTTGAGTAAAACTCAATGATTTAGTTAAACTGCTAATTGTAATTAAATTAATTAAATTAAGTTAATAATTTAATTAATTTATTAACTTAAAGAATTATTAATTCTACTTGAAGAAAAATAAAATTAAATAATTTATAACTTTACTTAAATAAAAAGAAAATTAATAAGTAAAATGCTAATTTTACTTTTATTTTGTCTTATTTATTTATTTTTTGATCGTAATTTCTTTTTTTAAAAACCTTTTATTAAATTTATTTAATTTGAAAAAATAAAATTAATCTTTAAAAAAATCGGAAAAATAAACAAAAACAGGTATTTTATTTAAATTTAAATTAATTTAATTCCTTTTAAAAATTAATTTCTTTATTTATTTATTAATTTAAATTAAACAATTTAAAGTTATTAAATTAATAATTAAGCTCAATCAAATTAACTCAAACTCAATTAATTTAGTTAATAGCTCAAGTAAAACTTAATAATTTAATTAATAGCTTAAGTAAAACTCATTGAGTTATTAAAAATTAAAACTCAAACTCAGGGTTGGAAAGCAGTTAACTGCTAATTAACTGCAATGCAGTTAATTTAACTGCACGATTTTTAGACTGCAACTTAACTAATTGCAGTTAGTTAAAATTCGGACTGCAACTGCAAAAAATTAAGTTAATTACAAACTAACTGCACACTGCAGTTTGCAGTTAAGTTAATTAACTATTAACTGCGATAACAAAATTATTATTATTTAATTAAATAAAATAAATTTATTAATTCTTTTAAAACCTTTAAATTAAGCGTTAATTATTATATTTAAAAAGGTTAAAAAATTGTTAAAATAATAATAATTCGATTTTTAATTAATTATTTAATTTTCATATTATAATAACTGCAATTAACTGCGCAGTTAACTTAAATTAATAAAACCCGGACTTAAACTAATAATTAACTATATACAGTTAGCAAAAATCCGGACTACAATTGCACTAACTTAGATTAAATTAAACTGCACTAATTAACTGCAAACTACGTTTCCAACCCTGCTCAAACTCATTAATTTAGTTAATAAATTGAGTAAAACTCAACTCAATTAAGTTAACTCAAACTCAAACTTAAAACTCAACTCAATAATTTCAACCCTATGAATAACTTAAAAAATTCTATTTAAAGTCTTAACTAAATCAATTAAGTTTAAGTTAACTCACTTAAGTTTAGTTAATAACTCAATAACTTAAAAAACAGGGTTGGTATTTAGTTAACTAATAGTTAACTAACGTTAGTTAACTAAAAACTACATTTAGTTTAGTTATTAGTTAACTAACGTTAGTTTTTAAAAATGCTAACTAAAACTAAATTAATTTAGTTAGCAGCTTGACTAAAACTAAAGATTTTAGTTAGTAAAGTGATTAAAACTAAATTAAACTAAATGATTTAGTTTTTAGTTTTAGTTAACTAAATAACTAAAGATTTAATATTAATATTAATTTAATTAATTTATTAATTATAATAAAAATAATTAGCAAAATTAAATAATTAAAGCTTCCTTTAATTATTTACGTTATTAATTTTATTATATCTTTTTATATTAAATAATTATAACGTTTTTAAAAAATCTTTAGTTAACTAAAGAATTAACTAAAACTAAATTGATTTAGTTAGAATGCTAACTAAAACTAAATTGATTTAGTTAAGGTGTTAACTAAAACTAAAGTGATTTAGTTAGCAGCCTGATTAAAACTACGTTAGTTTAGTTAATGGCTTAAGTAAAACTAAGTAGTTTAGTTAACTAAAAACTAAAACTAAAAACTAAAACTAATCATACCAACCCTGTTAAAAATAATTAATTTTAATTAAAAATAATAAATTTAATTACGTTTAAAAGCTTTATTAAATACATTAAAATTCCATAAATAAATTATATATTTTCTTTTATTTTTACCATTTTTATTTATAATAAAATTTATTTTCCAATATTAGGAAATTTTAATCAAAAATTAAATAAAAATTATTGATAATTAAAAAGTAATATTAAAAATAAAAGAAAAATAAATAAAATAAAAGAATACCGGTATTTTAATTCGTTAAATTTATTTTATTTTATTACGCTCTTTTTTTATAATATTATAATTAAAATTAATTAAAATTAATTTAATTTTAAATTAGTGAGTTAGTTAAGTTATTAACTCAACTCAATTAATTTAGTTATAATTAGCACCCTAACTAAATCAATTGAGTTTGAGTTAGCACTTTTAATAACTCAATTGAGTTTAGTTATTAACTAAATCAATTGAGTTTTAAGTTAACTTAATTGAGTTAACTGCCAGTTAACTCAATTGCAACCCTGAATAAAACAAAAATTCCCAACGGTAACTTTATTCTTTTATTTATTTATTTATTTATTTATTTGCTTACTAATTTATTAATTAGATTCTTATATCCGTTAGAATTCGACGTATAATATGATTAATACGGTTTTTGAATTAAAAAAACCGTTAATTTATATTTATCGAAATACGGAATATGCGGATTTGTAACAAATCTTTTTTTCGAAAGCCGATTGGTTTTTATTAACCCAATTATAACGAATTTTAAAGATTTTTGTTAAACCAAGTATTAAATTATAAGGTGAATTTTATACTATCTTATCAACGTCTTTATTATACGTTTATACCTTTTATCCAAAATTAAAGGTTATTTACGACGAATATAAAGAAATAATAAAAAAGAAACCGGAGTTAATAAATAAATTATTCTATTTTATTATTTTAACTTTTATTTTATTATTTTAACGTTTATTATATTATTTTAATTTATATCGTATTATTTTATCTTTATTTAAATAATAATATTAACTTTTATTTAGAAACCGTTATTAGAAAGTCTTAACCAGGCTATTGGAGCTGGTGCAAGAAAATTGGATTATTATTTTCCGAAAAAAGTAACGGCCGGTAATATCGAAAATTTCGGACCTTATTTATTAGCTGTTATTTTAGATCTTCGAATTAAATTAACTCATTTTTAACGGAGTTATAAATTACACTTTTATAAAGGGGTTTTAAAGCATATCACTACTTTTTTTAAAGAAACCTATAAAGCGTAAGTTATTTTATTACTTTATTTCATTTTTTTTATTTTATGC